TAAGCAAGAATTCTCTATCAGAATATTCTGCACATACTTGATAGTTTGGGGGCTGCATATGATGGTGCACATTTGATCCTGGCTTTTTAGTGAGGAATAAGCAATTCCTTGAGAAACTCAGAATCCATCCAGATTTTTTTTTTTTTTTCTCTTTTGGTACCAGGAATTGGACTCAGGATCTTGCACTTGTGAGGCAGGCAGTGACACCACTGAGCTAAATCCTCAGCCCTAGAAGTTTATTCCTGCGGTAAAAGATTTAACGTACTCCTCGCTTTGCCTGTGTGAGAGCCTGCCTTCTTGAATGTATGTACCTGGAAGGAGATCACACGTGTGCACACCTGTGTGGGGGGGCGCTGACCAAAGGTTCTCTCTGGGGACTACAGTATTAAGGGAGAATTAAAAGGAAGAGAAAGCTCAGTTGTCTGTCGCCTAGGTTTCTGTCACCTGTGTAGCACCTGTTTTTCTCTACCTCTGTAGTTACTGCTACCTAAACACTTCAAGACATGGAGCTGGAACTGTCCGTATCAGTCCTCCAGATCCCAGCCGAGATTCGCTTTGGCAGGGCTTTTTTCCAGGGCTGGAGTGCCCAGCGAAGTAACAGACTTGGAATCACTTTATTCACATGCCACCTTTCTTGAGGGACACAAGGCTCACTGGGTGCGTTACTTTAATAGTCCAAGAGGAGCTAAACAAGCCTGTTATTTTAAGTGTTATTTAATACTTTTGTGATTTGTCCTTACAAGAATTCTTGGCCTTGGGGTAGGAAATGAACTACAACTGGGAGCACGAGCCGTTGGTCTAGTTTCCCTCACAGCCAGAGAGAATGTGTGTGACCTGTGTCGAGTTGACCTGGGTCTCCCTGTGCGAGCCTCAGATGAGGGCAGGGTGATGGCTTTCGCCACAGAGCTGCTGACCTTCTCAGGGCACGTTGCCTGTGCTGGCCGGTCCCTGAGCTTTAAGCTGGGACCATGTTGATGTCTCTCACTGCAGTCTGGGTGGATGCTGAGGGGACTGTTTATTCACCATGTCTGATGTGAGTCTTGAATTTGTTGTGTTTATTTTTTTGGCTGCCTTTGCTTTGGTCATGTTCTTGGTCTGATGAGTGGAAGATGGCAGCCATGCTCTTTTCTAGACGACAAGCATTTGTCAAGAATGATTTTCACATTTTTGAATTTATTTTTAACGGTGATTCAGCAGAAATGAAAACTTTTTTTTTTTTAAATCTTAGGAAGGTAACGGCTGTATTCCCATCCCTTTCACCATTCACTCTGAACATGTGTGGTTTGTTTTAAGCCATGTGTCAGTGCCTTTTCTTGGAGGTATAAATTCATGCAGGGTCTGGCAGAAACTGCAGACAGGATGTGGACCGTTGAGTGTCTTTGACTGACTAGGAGGCCTGGTGGAGGTGCTGCACGGTTCCAGGCAATTGATGTTTCTAGCCAAGGCCTCAAAAACTTAAGATGTATAAGTGCTTGCTTGAGATTTGTGGGGCTGACTCACCTATGAAGATCTAAAAATTATATTTTCTTCTCTCAGAGAGGCCAAGGGCAAGAAGCTGACCAGTGGTTTCCCTGTGAGTCCCGGATCTCTGTGAGGTCAGCAGTCACCTCCAGGTCGTGTCCTTTACTCCATGCTTGCTGAGTACTAGGTGTAAGATACCACAGTTCCTGAGTATTTACTCATTCAAAGGCCTTAAAGGAAGATGCCTCATATAGACCAGTGACCTCTGGAGCGCTCACCTTCACTGTTGGTGAATTACTAGAATAGGTTTTTGTGTGTTTGTGTGTGTGATGGTACTGGGAGTTGAACTCAGGGCCGTGCGCTTACTAGGCGAGAGCTCTACCACTGACTACATCCCAGACCATCCTGCTAAACTCTTGGAAGATGACTAGTGTTGTCTTCATTGGGTTTCAGAGCAGTGGACCTTAGTATTTTATATAGTATCTAAAACTTAGGCTTACTCTAGATAAGTTGAAATGATTTTCAGAAGTAGGAAGAATGTACTTTTTAATCCATTCAGTATTATGGAAATCCCATTAGAGCTCCGAATGACAGTTTTGTGTCAACATAGTTTCTCACTGTGATTTTTGAAACAGTCAATGTGGAAACCTAGAAATAATTATCAAGAAGAATTCACTGCTTCATGAAGAGACAAGAGGACCATTTGGAAACGCAGGTGTCTCTTTTAGAATGAAATTACTATATAGCAGGGCGCTTGTAAAACACAAGGGAAAATATGAAATAAAATGTATCTTCTGCTTCCAAGAAGATGTGAACATTGTAAAAAATTGGAATTAAGTCATATAAAACTGCCAGATGATTCCAGTCCAAGAGAAAAAAAATTTTTTTTGGCAAAGAAATACAAGTTTTTAAAAACAATAGGCCAGGAGAAACTCAAGTGCCTATAAAGTAACTACTGTAGCTGGGAGATGAAATGGGAACCATGATGAAGTGCTTGCTTTCCTTGGATGTCTCAGTTTGCCTAAGTGAGCATAATTTCGGTGACTGGGCATTTGTCTGGCAGCTGCTGGTGCTACTCGTTAATGCCAGAGAAGACAAAATAGTTGGCACACAGTTTCCAATTTCGTTATTGTACCAAAAACCAGAAGAAATAGAGTTATATTCTTCCAAAGTGGGAAGATGTCGTCTGTTTTCTTTCTTGGGCTTTGCACACTTGCACACACCAAGCATCCCCCTGATATTTGTTAAGTGTGGCCAAACTGATTTGTTTGTGCTACTATAAAGAAAAAGAACAGGGTGAATTTGATACCCTGTGGAATCAGAATTTCATTTTTTTTTTTTTTTGGTATTTCTAAAGTAGACACCCAGATAATTTGAAACGTCATACAAGCATCCAAAACAGTGGGTAGCAAACCTGTTTCTGAATTTCATTGGGACGCAGCCACATCCATCCTTTGGGGATCATTTTTGACAAGTTGCTTTCCACTTACCACAGCATGCTTGAATGGCTGCACTGGTGGCCTTTTGGCCTGAAATCCTAGCTTATTACTATGCCCTTTGTAGAAAAACTTGCAACCCTTGACTTAGAGCCTTGGTCGTACTTTCGTAGTGGATGTCATTTTGTAGGTGCTAGAAGGCTGGCTTGGCCACTCAGATATTGTATTCTCTCCACCTCAGACAGCTGGTCTTCACCTCCAGTCACAGAACCCTAGGATAACGTGCAAAGACTGGGTTCAGTCCTTAGGACCACCAAAAACAGAAACAAACAAACAAACAGAAAAACCACCAAAAATCACTGGGTTTGGTGAGGAACTTTCTTGCAAAAACAGAGGAGCTTTTTCCCTGTGGAAGAATCAGTTTAAGAGGGCCAACCAGCTGATGGCTCAAGTCCTTTTAACTTCAGCACTCTGATTCTGTGGCTGGTGTCTTTGAGTATTTGAAGGGCTGTTGTGTGGAAGAAGCATTAGATTGTGAGGCTGGAGGATCAGCATTAGCGTGAATGGCTGCAAGTTACTGTGAGAACAGATTTCAGCTCCAGTTAGGAGGGTCGTGCTTTCTGGGAGCTCCCATTCCTAGAATACACTTCATGGGTAATGAGTTCCTTCCCGCGAGAGATGTGCAAATAAAGGCTTGCTGACTGCTGGGTACTTGGGATGTAAGCACTGGATAAAAGGTGACCATGTAGCGAAATCTTGGAGGCACTAACCTTGAAATTCGAATGGCTTCTTTGGTTAAAGTTCTGTTTCCAAGGTCAGATTTTAACCCCATTTTAATCTGTTGTGAGTCTCTAGATGCATCCTGGATGATTTTCTGAAAATACAATACTGGCCAAACCAGAACAGTGCAGGGGGAAGGAGCTCTTCTGGTGGACAGAGATGGCGGGCCAGGCTGACCTGGGCCCTTGGGCCACTGCAGTTAACAGTGGATGGAGCAAGACTTGTCATCAGACTGAAATTCTCACGGACAGATTGTCTCTCTCCAGCTTCTGCTACCATCTTTGCTTTCTGCCTGGGTTCTGGGAAAGAGAAAGGACCTGGCCAGGGGCATATTACACATGTATACGTCAAAACAGGTTTTCTTTATTGTTGTCTGCCAGAGTTTAGGTTGGGACACGGCTTTGAAGAGGAGGTCTGGGTGAGGTCATAGGTCTCTGTGCAACTCTGCTGTGCTGTCACAGCACAAAAGCAACCAGGGACAATATATGAATGACGAGTGGGACTGTATTCCAATAAAACTTTATTAAAAGGAGTGAACAGCGGACCAGATTTGGCACTTGGCAGTAGTTTGCCGATCCTGGAGAGAGACCTTGAAAGTTACAGCTGAAACCATCAGCTCTAGCTCCCTCACGTTTTAGACAGACATGAAATGACATGTCCAAAGTCACCCAGGGCTGAGCCAGAATTACAAGCCATACTATATATTTAGTTTAGTTCCCATTTGATGATTCGAGGCTGCTTCAGCTGTGTGGTCAGTTTACAGCATTGGGTTTTTAAGAGGGAGCCTTTCAGGCGAACGCAACACCTGCCTCAGGTGCTCTGGGAAGAGTAATCATGAGAGCGCAAGGATGGTATTTTATCATAGGTAACCCCTTTATCCCTGTGGCCTGGGCCCTCTGCACAGTAAAACGAAATATATGCTGCCTAGGTTCCTATGGAGAAATTATGCCCCAGAGTCGTGAAAAAGAAATGGGCTCCTGCAGCTGCGTCACAGGATTTGATCACTTCAGCTGAGAGTGCCAGGAGATTTGAGACAGATGTTTTCAGACATGCCGCATGCCTAAAACATTTCCAGGGGTCGGGCTGCAAATAGTGACTTAATAAGTGGAGAAACAGGGAAAGTATGCAAGTTGAGGACACAAGAGTTTATTCACCACTAGGTGCGTGGCCAACCTCTTTGCATTACATCTGCCTGTCAGGGTTGGCTCTTTAATCTGTCGTGCCCTCCGTGTTGCTCTTTGTCTGCCCGTGAATAAAGTGCAGCATTGTGGTTAGTAATCCCACTCCAGTGACTCGACTTCAAATGTGGTTTTGGAGCGCATCCCAGAGTTCTGTTTGCTGAGCTTCCCACTCCTGTTTCAGAGACGCCACTGGATACAGAGCAGCGAGCACTAAAGGCTTCCCTCCTCCTTAGACCTGTCGGGTTGTGGGCTCTGTCTTTCCCCTTCTTGTTCTTTTCTTTTTTCTTTCTTTCTTTCTTTCTTTTTTTTTTTTTTTTTTTGAAACCTTCAGGACAAGTTCATGGATACTAAGCTGATGTGTTTGTTGTTCTTTTTCTCCCTGCCTCCGCTCCTAGTGAGTAACCACACTGGCCGCATCAAGGTGGTCTTTACTCCGAGCATCTGTAAAGTGACCTGCACCAAGGGCAGCTGTCAGAACAGCTGCAAGAAGGGGAACACCACCACTCTCATTAGTGAGAATGGTCATGCTGCTGACACCCTGACAGCCACGAACTTCCGAGTGGGTGAGTTCCTCCACGGTCCCTAACTGTCTCTGCCGAATCGAGCCCTAGGAGATTGTAGCTCTTAGACGCCCTTCCACTCACACTGCCCTCTGCTTGAATGGGTCCCGGTCTCCGAGCACGAATGTGCTTCTCTCAAGACATCTTTTAAAGGACTTTCAGCACAGCTTTAAGCCTCATTTTTAGTTTCTTAGAGAAATGGCAACCAGAATCTTTCCCCTTATTGCTTAGCATTTCCCCGGCCGTGGTGGTGGGAATGTAGATAGTAGGGCAGAGAGACTTTTAGATGGAGACTCTAATGCATATCCTGCACTGGTCAGCTTCCGATTTGATCAGCCGCAGTGATACATCACATTGGCATTAGACGTAATGCGTGTTATACAGATTGGAAGGTTGGGAAGAAATTTAAAACTTCACTTTATAAATAACCAGGATTTAAAAAAAAAATCTCTAAAACTTGTCAAAAAACCCATACTTTGGTTGTAGAAGGGGATATATATTTTATATATATATATATATATACACATACGCTTCATCTTTTGCCGCGTTTCTGCTTTGTATCCTGAGTCTGAATTATAAATTGATACGTGAGATGAGTATAGAGGAGGATAGACTAGTGGGTTATGGTAAGCATTCAGAAGCTTTAAATTAATTTAAGTATGAACAAGTAGTTCTGACTGCAAAAGAAGGCTTTCTGCTTCTTTTTCAATGTTTTTTGGTTTCTCTTTTACTTTTTTGTAAATGGAGCAAGTTTTGCGGTGTGCTGAAAGCTGTCATAGTGCCATGTTGTCATGCAAAACAGTATTTTTGTCACAGGAAAAAATGTCTTTTATTATTTTTTGACCAATTATGGTTTGCCCTGTACGCTCAAATAATCACAGACAACCGTGTTGCTTTATGAGTTACTCACAAGAATAACCCGAATGTCAGACAGATAATAACACTGGCTAGATCTGGTCTTTTTATGGAATATTGCTGTTTAGTCTTGGGAGTGTGTCTCTAAAGGGGCATGTAGGAAAGAGTGTGTCTATTTCAAACTGATTTCCAGCTTGAAGTCCTTAGCTCTATGGTTATTTTATTGTGACTCCCAGTCCTTCTGAGGTTGAAGCAGAATTACGGTCTGTGCTTGGAAAAAAAAAAAAAAAAAACAACAAAAAACAAAAAACAACAACGTGTGCTCATAGATACACTTTAAAAGCGTGCTGTAACTATCCTGGTTATGATAGGGGCACTTTGGTCATATTTTAAGAATAATTTTAGCTGTTAGGTACCAAATGGCACAGTACACATGGGAGGTAGGGAGCCAAGTCTAATGGGAAGTGTTGACTTGATCAGGGAACTGGTCTCTGGTCCCAGTCCTGCTCTTTACTAGCTAATAACCCACAGGCCGTGACAGGAAGTATTTCTGGGCCTCGGTTTTTCCCTTCCGTAGAATAGATGGGATTATCTTGTGATGTCTGAAATTCATTCCACCTCTAAAATCCTATGACTTTTTATCAGCAATAAGTAATATTGTTTTTTTCTGGCTCCCTCCCCCAGGAGGGTGGTAGTTGTAGAGGAGAAGGGGAAAAAGAGGGGAAGGGGCCATTTCTCAGTATATTTTTCTGGGCTTCGTGGCTTTTCCCGCTTTTCTTTTCACGGTTGCCTTTGTACTGCTTCCCCCTTCTTTGTTACCAACAGTGATGTCACTCCTCCTGTTTGCATTTATGGTAAATCATTACGGTAGCAATGACAAAGTAATCAAATTGGTGGTAATTTTTTTTGGCTTACAGAGTATTCATTTTGAAACTAAGTATTTGAAGGCTCTGAGAAACAGGAAGTCTGCTTGTTAGAACATGCTCCACACTTTCCTTTCTGGCATTTAACCAGATGTTTAGGAACAGAACACACACGGCCTGTTCAAAGTACAAAGTGGGGCAGAATTATTCACAAATACATTTCAAAATCAGAATTTAACCCTCCACAAAAGAATTGGAAGGATAGTTTAATTTTTAAAAAGCTTAAGAATTTAAAAAATTGAACTCGTTTATAATCTGTAGTTGTACACTGGAAATCATACATTTATATCCTGAGCTATCTCCCTCTCCTATTTACGTGTTAGTTCATTTTATTTGAGGGACAAGTTTTATAATTTTCTTTATTGAGGAATGATGATTTTATAGAAATTAGATTGTGAATCTTCCAAAGTACAAGACATTTTAGAGTTCATTTGCATGGGTGTTATCTCTTTTAGGACTTTACTAAAATTTTATTATTTACAAAGGGTAGTTTTCTAATTTATTTTTTCTATGTATCTGTAGTATGTTAAATCTTTTGAAAAATAAGGTGTATATGGGAAATAGTACATTTTGAGGAAGGATTCACCTTGTCATAACTTGCTAGCTCGTGTCTTTGGCCTCTATTAAGGGTACTAGAAGGTAGGAGCTGGCAGCGAGTTTCTGGTAGAGAAGTAGAGCGGTTACACATTGGGTTTCCTGGGCCCTGGCCCCTGTAGCAGCATCTCACCTCAGTGTTATAGAATCAGTTAGAGACAGTAAGACCAAAGCTGGGTGCATGGTGCTGCCAGAACAGGTACTGGGCAACATTTGATGTGCATTCCATACTTCGTGGACCCCTGCGCTGAGGAGTCAGAATAGTACAAGTGAAAGCATAGTTAAGACACCTTAATGACCCATTTAGTTAGTTGGAGCACCACAAACGATTTTGAGTATTTGCATGGTGATTTACATTTGTTTCAAAGGAATATCAATAAGGAAATTCAGGCGCACAGGGAAAGTGAACTGGTTCTAGGTATACAGTGAGTCACTTAGCTAAGATGAGACCCTAAATCTCCTTTTGTCTTCTGTGCACCTAAACCCTCTGGACTCTGAATGCCATGTACAGTGGGGTGGGGGAGTGAGGGCCTCGCAGGGCTGAGCCTTCTGGAAAGGATAGATGGTATGAGAGAGAGAGAGAGAAAGAGAAAGAGATACAGACAGACAGGGACACTGGGCTCATGTGGGTTCGAATCCTGACTTCACAGGTCATGCTTGGCTCTGTGGCCTCTCCTTGCCTCATCCCCCCCGATGGAGGCTGAGATAGCCACACAGAGGCTTGTTCTGTAGTAGGCATGGACCGCATCCCTCCCACACCCGTGCCTCTTCTCTGTTGTTTAGCTGTGTGTTGACTGTGAGTCTGGCTGTTCAGATGTGAGGGGCAGAAGGTGCTTCTCCCACCATTCACTGTTTCTGAGTCCAGTGGGAGAAAATAATAGTAGAATTTTTGTTTAAGGAGGCTCTATAAGTAAGGCCCCAATGAAGGTCTTATCTAAGGGAATTATTCTTTTAGAGTAAATATTTTTGTGAACGGTGACATTGATATAGTATACGGAGTATTTACATTGAGTGGAGTTATCTGTGCAACAGATTTCTAATTGTAATGACTTTTTTTTTCCCCAGCACTGTACTTTCTGCTTCCCTGTCCCCTCTGACCCCTGCCTTTTAAAAAAATGGAAGCATACCCTCAATGGGGAGACCAGCAGGTTCACCACTGCTGCTTTAATGGATTCTTAACATTTCATAGGGAGATAATGAAATTACCTTGTGGGAGTTTTGTTCGTGAAGTCTACATTTCCTTTAACAAGAAAAATATAAGAATTCATGTTGCAACAACTAGAAAAATTCAGAGACAATAATCCTGTCTGTCGCTTGATGTAACTTATTGGTAGAAACATTGGAAAGCAGTCATGACTGTTAAAATAACACACTTGGTTTGTACAATGCTGCTTTCTCTGAGGGAGTTGTGACTCACATTCCCTGAGCACAAATGGAATAGTTATAGAAATGTACATGATAATTTACAAACTATGTTTTCATATGTTATTTCCTTTAATGAGAGAGGTCAATCATAGTGTGTCTGTACTTTGCAAATATGACATCTGAGCCTCTCAGGGCTTGATTACAAGTGACAATAAGCTTTCCTTCTTCTAGTGTCGTGGTACTTCCAGCTGTCTCATGATGCTGCCTATGAGAAGATACTGATGTTAAATGATTATGTATACAACATGGTACCATATTTTCCATGCTAAGCAAATCATAAGGCTGTCTTTGATAGGCTTATGTCTAAGGAGGTGTTGGAGTTTACACATAAATAACCCTAAATCAGGGTCCAAAGCATCCAGCAGAAGCCCAGAGGGGAGAATCTGTGCCCTCCTCAGGGGAGGGTGCTTTGAGAGAAAAGACATGGCAGGCAGCACTTTTATTCCATCTGTCCAACATGCTACCCCACCTCCTGATCTTGTTGTCCCACCCCAAGTAAATGCCCACTGCCTGATTGTTGATTAGTAGAGGCAGTAGAACTCAAAACCTGGAAAGTCCCAAAATAAAGATGGATGGAGGATAGGGAAGGTGAGAGGCAAAAATATTGGGAAGCGAAAATTTAACCAGTAGAATTGGATGTGGCATGGGAAGACACAGGTGGTTTCTGGAAACTGGGCATAGTTTTTAAATGTTTAATAGTAGATGACAAGTCCAGGGGTGGACTGGGGAAGGCTGCTCAGTACCTTGAATTTCAGGCTTAGTAATTTGAATTTTACTCTTTCAGGATCTGCTAATAAAGTTCTCTTGAGGAGATGTAAATATTGATCATTTAAAAAAAGCGATATGGTATGTTCTTGTGTTTTTAGGTGGGAAACCAGTGTTTTCAGAAGCTAAGTTTCTGAGTGAATGGTGACCTCCAGCCTCTTCCACCTGTTCTGAGGTTTGCCTGATGCTCTGCCCTGGAAATCTCCCCATCTGTCTCTCAGAATAAACGTAATGCCATGGCTAAACTCGTTCTTAGATTCTCCTCACAAGGAGGGAAGAAAATGCCCTCTCCAAGAGGCATGAAATAAACTGACCCTGAACAGCTCAAGTTGGGGGAAGCATCCAGGTTTTTTCCTGGTGACTTTGTTCAAATGCTGAGGTAGTCATAAATCTCTTCAGTTGTCACTGTTTGGGTCCCTGGTGTTCACACAGCATGGAGAT